ATGACATGAAGGCTGTGTTGACCAGTTGATGGAAGTATTTCAGATTGCATGTGAAAACCCCACACTGTACCCCAGAAGTGCATTAATGTACATAGTTACCGTTCAATAAAAAAAAAAGAAAAAAAAATTCTTTCACTTATAAACAATATATGTGTAGTTATAAGAGCTGTTCCTCATTCCTTTCTTTTCTTTCTTTCTTTCTTTTTTGATACGGGGTTCTTACTATGTTGCCCAGGTTGGCCTTGAACTCCTGGGGTCAAGCACTCTTCCCACCTCAATCTGAGTAGCTGAGACTACAAAAGTGAGTCACCATGCCTGACTAGCTGTTTACAAATTTTTGTAGAGATGGGGTCTCATCATGTTGCCAGGCTATTTTCAAACTCCTAGGCTCAAACAGTCTTCCCACTGTAGCCTCCCAAAGTGCTGGGTTTACAGGCATGAACCACCATGCCCTGCCTCCGATTCACTTTTCCACTTAGTATATAACAGAGATTTCGTTACCACACTCGGTGGAGTTCTCTCCTATCTCTGCTGCAGCTGCCCGCAGGTAAGCCTGCTGTGTGTGCTCAGTCCTCACCGAGCCTGGGTTGTTTCACTTTTTCCCTCTTTCAGCTGGCGCCATAGCAAGCAGCCCTGTGCTTACACCATCTCCTGTTTCTTCTAGTGATCTTCCGACAGATTCCTGGAGGGGGATGTCCCCACGCAGGGTTGCCAGATGCTGCCAAACCCCTGCCAAACCCCACTGGGCTGTTGTCATAGTCTGAATTCCTGCCTGTTTCCCTACAGCTTTGCCAGAGACCACATCCTCAAATTTTAGTTTTGTCAGTTTGCTAGGTGGGAATTGGTAGTTCAGCGCCATGGCCTGCTTCCCTCAGTGGGCCTCTCTGGGAGCCAGCTAGGCCACAGGTTGATTTTTCTGTTGGAAGCACAATGGAGGCTGTTTTAAAGTGACCTCAGTGGTCACTGAGTGGTGCCTGTAGCTCAAGGGATAGGGCACCAGCCACATGCAGTGAGGCTTGCGTGTTCGAACCCAGCCCAGGCCTGCTAAACAACAAGGACAATTGCAACAAGAAAATAGCCAGGTGTTGTGGCTGGCGCCTGTAGTCCCAGCTACTTGGGAGACTGAGGCAAGATAATCACTTGTGCCCAAGAGCTTGAGATTGCTGTGAGCTGTGATGCTATGGCACTCTATGGAGGGCAACATAGTGAGATTCTATCTCAAAAAAAAAAGTTATACTTTTAGTGTTCAGTAAATATTTATTGGTTATTCATTCATTTTTTAAAATAAATAAATAAATATTTATTTATTTTTCTTTCTTTCTTTCTTTTTTGATACGGGGTTCTTTTTTTTTTTTTTTTAAATGTAATTTAATTTTATTTTTTGCAGTTTTTTGGCCAGGGCTGGGTTTGAACCCACCACCCTTGGCATATGAGACTGGCGCCCTACTCCTTGAGCCACAGGTGCCGCCCTGATACGGGGTTCTTACTATGTTGCCCAGGTTGGCCTTGAACTCCTGGGGTCAAGCAATCTTCCTACCTCAATCTGAGTAGCTGAGACTACAAAAGTTTTTTGGTTGCAGCCATTATTGTTGTTTGGCGGGCCCGGGCTGGATTCGAACCCACCACCTTAGGTGTATGTGGCTGGCGCCTTAGCCACTTGAGCCATAGGCGCCAAGCCAAAATAAATATTTATTGAGCACTACTATATGCCAGGTATATGGTAGAAGCTGGGGGGACTTGGAGTGAATATGAATCTGCTTCCAGAGTGTCTTGTCTTTCCATACTCTCAAAGGAATGTTTTCGGTAATTTGCTGTTTTCATAGTAGTTCAACAAATATTTAAATACTCCTAGATAGAAGAAGGCATTAATACATACTATAATTCTTTGAGGGAAATACCTTGATTATATTATTTCTTGGTCTCAATTACCATTTGTTCTCCAGAGAAAACTCCTTTATCATTTATGCACAGCAGGCCTCCTGGATAAGCCTATTGGTCCTGACAGAGTATGCTTATTTACATATCTGGTGTTTATACGAAAATAATAAATACAATGCTCTGTTTCACTGCTTGGTTGTCTGTGATGAAAGGGCTCCCTGCGATCTAGCCAGACATACATCTAATTTTCTGCTATCAGTGAGATGGGATGCCCTGTGTGCAGTTTTGTTAAATGTGAAAAAGTTAAGTGCACTTTGACATAGAAGTGTTCCAGAGTATAAAATGCTATTTTTCTTTCTTTCTTTCTTTTTTTGAGACAGAGTCTCACTACGTCACCCTCAGTAGAGTGCTGTGGTGTCATAACTCACAGCAACCTCAAACTCTTGGGTTTAAGCGATTCTCTTGCCTCAGCCTCCCAAGTAGCTGGAACTACAGGCGCCCTCCACAACACTATTTTTTGGTTGTAGTTGTCATTGTTGTTTGCCAGGCCCAGACTGGATTCAAACTCACCAGCTCTGGTGTATGCTCACCAAGCCTAAAATGCTATTTTTCTACCCACAGTAGTTATTTTTTCCCAGTTTTCACTGTTGTTAAAATGTCATTGTGTGTCCTGTGACCTGTGTGATGTGTTTGAACATACAAAGGACACATCCGGATTTCAGACCTTGGCTTAGCCGTGGAGATACCAGAAGGACATTCGGTTCGAGGACGCGTTGGAACAATTGGCTACATGGGTACGTGAGGGAGCATTTGGGTGGTCCTTGTCCTTTCTGTCTGGATGCCTGAGGGCCTCAGAACATGGGGAAATCTTAATGCCAATGGACCTAAAGCTCCGTTTGACCATACTGGTCTATGGTAGAGTGGGGTTTGGAAGTCTATAACCAGGCGGAGTTGGAAACTGAGGAGCCCTCTAGTCTGTCCCCCTCTTTTTACAGATGAAGAGTGAAGCTCTAAGTTCTGAGGTCACTCAGCTAGGAGAGGGCAGAATCAGGATGAGGCCACAGGTCACCCACACTGCCAGTGTCTGCCCTGTGCACAGCAGCCTTGCAGACTCCTCGAGAAACCATCCTGCTCAGTATATTCCAAAGGTCCAAGGGCAGCACCAGGCTGAGCCCCAGGAGCAGCCTCTGAGGGAGGGCTAGAAGGAGTCCTGCAGGAAGACCCCATGCCTGGTCATTTCTGCTGCCCCCAGCTTCTGGGGGTCTTGACTGACATAGGAAAAGACGGCAATGCACTGGGGGCACCGTGGGCATGGCTCTGCGTTTAGAGGGAGCACTTCCTGGAGTGGGGTCTTCCCTGGACTACTGTCTCCCAGGTTAATGTCACTCTGTGGAGATCCAGTTCGTCCCGGATAAACATTTAAAAAAATAACACTTTTATTTTTATATAATAAATATAATTTACATACCACAAAGGCCACCAGTTTAAAGTGTTTAATTCAGTGGATTTTTGAATATTTACAGAGTTTGTACAACCATCACCACTGTCTAATTTCATAGCATTTTTATCACCTGAGAAAAGAAAGCCCAGACTTATTAGCCATCGCCCATCCCTCACCCTGACAGCCTCTAACTGACATCCTGGCTCTGTGGACTTTCTATTCTTTTCTTGTCAATAGAATCACAATATTCGGTTCTTTGTGTCTGGAGTGAACATGATATTTTTAAGGTTCATCTGTGTTGTAACAAATACTGAATTTATAATGTATTATTTGGAACTAATACCAAGAAAATTTAAAACCAAAATGTTATTTAATTTAAATTTACTTTATTTGTCATATAGCCCCTGAAGTTATCAACAATGAACACTACACATTTAGTCCTGACTGGTGGGGACTTGGCTGTCTTATATATGAAATGATTCAGGGACATACACCATTCAGAAAATTGAAGGAGAAAGTCCGGCGAGAGGAGGTCGATCGGAGAGTCAGGAAGGACACTGAGGAATATTCTGAGAAGTTCTCAGAAGCTACCAGATCCATCTGCAGAATGGTAGGTTGGGCTGTGGGAGTCAGGAGGCTCAACTTCTGCCTCCCTCCAGGAGCTTGCCACTGTCTGCCTAAAGCCGCCACCCAGGCTCTGTGCCCTGCCGTGGGTGAGAGAGCTGGGAGCTCGCTCAGACCTGCCTCGGGGTGACACCCCTGCCTTGGCTCTGCATCCAGGTTCAAAGAGGGCAGTGGAGAAAAGTGTCCATAGTGATCTAGGAGATGACTCGGGGTTTGATCTGACTAATCAGGGCAAAGCAGAGTCAAATTCATTGTTTGCTTTCTCAAAAGATGCTCTTGAGAGGGACAAGTGGTACCAAGGCTGCCATTCACCTTTCAGAAAACAGCTGAGCCTTGTTTCATTAACCAGCTTTCTATGACATGAAACATAAGACTCATCTTTAGTGTGTTTTGAAATAGTAAGGGTTTCTTCTTTCTTCACCCAGCAGCTGCCCAGGGCCTGCAGCCCACAGACCTCCACCTAGAAGGACTGCATGCACCAGGTGCTGCAGAGATGAGTGCCTTGATTCTGTTAAGGGCCCTGCAGGGGGCCAGCACTGGCATCGTGTGCGCAGCAAGGAGACCTCGTCTGCCATCCTGGGACTAGTGAGGAGCAGTCAGGGTCCATCTGCCCTCAGGCCAGGACTGTGTTCACTGCCCCTGGCTGCCCGGACACTAAGTCAGTGAGGGAGACTCTCTTCGTTATTTGTCTTAAACCATTATTTATTTATTTATTTTATTCTTTTTTTTTTGAGACAGAGTCTCACTATGTCTCCCTGGATAGAGTGCCATGGCATTATAGCTCACAGCAACCTCAAACTCTTAGGCTTAAGCAATTCCCTTGCCTCAGCCTCCCAAGTAGCGGGGACTACAGGCTCCTGCCACAACAGGCTCTTTCTTGGTTGCAGTTGTCATTGTTGTTTAGCAGGCCCAGGCCAGGCTTGAGCCCACCAGCCTCGGTATATGTGGCTGGCACCCTCTCCACTGAGGTACAGGTGCTGCCTTAAACCCTTATTTATTATTTTTGAACACATTTTTCTTTTTGAGAGTCTTGTATGTGCCAGGCCCTGTCCCAGGTGCTAGGGATACAGCATTGAGGAAAACAAAAGCCCCCTACCCCTGAGAACTGACAAGAAACAGAACACAGGAGGCAGGTGTGGGCTGCCAGGGTGACCTGTGGTCCAGAGGACAGGGGAGTTGAGGAGGTGGTAATGTTAATAGGCTGAGAGAACAGTGCAGGATCTGGGGCAGAGAGGATCAGCCTGCAGGCAGAGCTGGCTGCAGCAGCAAGGCCGTGAGGTGGCAGGTGGCTGGTGACACAGTGGGGCTTAGATGGGGTGGGACAGAGGGCGGGAACTGCCCCTAGCTTCATCGTCAGGGCTTATGTGGTACTTTTACTCTGATGACCCTGAAGCCATTGCAGGTTTCTGAGAAGAATGCTGGGAAGAGGGTGGGTAGACTGGATGCAAGCAGGTGATTTAGGTGAGGATGAGGTGGCAGGGCCTCTAGGATTTGCCTGTGTGTGTGGAAGAGGGTGGGCTGACTGCAGCATGGGCCTAAGCAGAGACCTCAGAGGGAAGGGAGGACCAGCTGGGGCAAAGTCCTCAAAGTAGGGAGGGTGGAAGTCAGCACATGACTGGTGCAGGGGGAGGAAGTGACTCGAGGAGGTTCTCTGTGGGGCTTCTGAGGGAGGTAAGGATGGAGGAGGCTCTCTTGTAGCGTCTAGGGAATGTCAGGTGGATTTGTTTGTTTGTTTGTTTGTTTTTATAGAGACAGAGTCTCACTTTATCATTCTTGGTAGAGTGCGTGCCATCACAGCTCACAGCAACCTCCAACTCCTGGGCTTAGGTGATCCTCTTGCCTCGGCCTCCCAAGTGCCTGGGACTACAGGCACCCACCACAATGCCTGGCTATTTTTTTGTTGCAGTTTGGCCAGGGCCGGGTTTGAACCCACTACCCTTGGTATATGGGGCTGGTACCCTACCCACTGAGCTACAGATACCGGGACTGTCAGGTGGATTTGGCAGGAGATAGGCAGCTGTGGTTGTGTGTTGTGCCCCCACACCAGATGACACAGGCTGGGAGCAGGCAGGGAGCTGCTGGCTCAGCAGGGGTGATGAGGCAAGACTCTGGCCAGGAGCCAGGGCATCTGTGGAGGAGAGACAATAATGGTCCATAGAATTGAAACTGGCTTTGATTGAGGATGGAGAGAAAGGCACGTTCCATCAGTTGTAGAAAAAGCGCAGTCCGGGGCTTGTTGAGGTCAGGGAACTTCCAGGAGCTGGCCAGAGGAAGTTGGGGAGAATGGGGTTGAGGGAGGCTTGCTGGTTGGGAAGAGTCTAGGGTATGACCTGGGTAGAGCGTGGATGCGCTGGGGAGGATGAGGCCATGTGACCGCGCACTCTCAGACACTCTCAGTTCTTCCTCTATCTTGGCTACTGACTATCTGGGCACTGCAGTCACCCAGGGCTGAAGCATGCCAGTGACCCCCTTGAGTTGGGTGTGGCTGGAGAGGCACTGCTTTGAGTTCCCTTTCTTTTTTTCCGAGTCTCACTTTCTTGCCCCGGGAGAGTGCTGTGGTGTCATAGCTCACAGCAACCTCAAAGTCTTGTGCTCAAGCGATCCTCTTGCTTCAGCCTCTCAAGTAGCTGGGACTACAGGCGCCCACCAGAACACCTGGCTACTTTTTAGAGATGGGGTCTCGCTCTTGCTCAGGCTGGTCTTGAACTCCTGCTCTCAAGTGATCCATCTGCCTTGCCTCCCAGAGTGCTGGGATTACAGGTGTGAGCCACCGTGCCCCACTTGTATTTCCGTATATGAAGCAACGGGTGTTGGAGCTTGTCACTGAGCTAGGGCATCAGCCTGGCTTTTCTCTTAGCTGGGTCATTCTGCTTGGAATGAGCAGTGTTTAATAGCATTTGGGCCTAACTGCTAGCCACAATCACTCTGAAGCCATTGACTGAGAGTTGCCACACAGGACTCTGTGACAGGACTATAGGAATGTAAGAGACGTTTATTAGAAATGGTGCCTGCGGCTCGGCGCCTGTGGCTCAAGTGGCTAAGGCACCAGCCACATACACCTAAGGTGGCGGGTTCGAATCCAGCCCGAGCCCGCCAAACAACAATGATGGCTACAACCAAAAAAAAAAAAAAAAACAGCCAGGCGTTGTGGTGGGCGCCTGTAGTCCCAGCTACTTGGGAGGTGGAGGCAGGAGACTCGCTTGAGCCCAGGAGTTGGAGGTTGCTGTGAGCCGTGATGCCACAGCATTCTACCAGGGCGACAGCTTGAGGCTCTGTCTCAAAAAAAAAAAAAAAGAAATGGTGCCTGCTCTAAGCAGCTCACAGCTTGATCTCAGGCCTTAAACATAAAAATGACCAGTAAAAAAAGCAAAATGTGGGGCAGTGCCTGTGACTCAAAGGAGTATGGTGCCAGTCCCATATACCAGAAAGTGGTAGGTTCAAACCTGGCCCCCGGCCAAAAAAAAAAAGAAAAATGTGAAGGGTGTCACAAATGGACAGAAACAAGGGCCTAAGGGTTTTTAGGATGAAGAAATCCTTGGGCATTAGAGGCGACAGGGAAGAGGGTGGCATGTGAGCAGAGGCCCTGGCTTTGCTGTCAGGGCACAGGGGGCCTCAACTGACTCATCTAAGCCCTAGTTTCCCATTTATGAAATGTGGGTCAGAGTTAACTTCTGCTGTATAGGATTGTTGGGAAGATAAAATGAACTGGTTCATGGGAAGTGTTTAGCAACACATAGTCCTTAACTACTGAGAGGAGAAGCACTTAACTCTTAAAAAATGGGCTCAATCTCACCAACAGGGATGGGCACAGAGGCTGCTGAATGGCAGAGCTGATTCAAATGTGGGCGCAGGGGTGGGGCTGGGGACAGGTGAATATTTCTTCTTTTATAAAATCAACAGAATTTTGAATGACCACGTCCTTATGTAACTCTTTGACTACATGTAGTTTGGTTTGTGAACTTGATAATTACATCCACAGTTTCATTATCAATAGATTGTTGGAGAGCATCCAATGGCATTTTGGGTTCTAGTCTCGATTGTACTCTTGGTTGAGTCCTCATAACACTAGCTGATTGTCGGCTGTGAGTTCCATGCCATTCCCGATGGCACCACCACCTGCGCTGGGCCTGGTCTTCTCTTGGGCTCCATATTTTCATTTCTTCTTCTGCATCAGCCTCATCTTCTTCCTCTTCACTCAGAATGAAAAATTTCACATTTCACCTCTGCGAATTCTTCTTGTTCACTGTCTGAACTAGTGAAATATCCTCATTTCCTTCAAAATCAGACACTCTCAGTTCTTCCTCTATCTTGGCTACTGACAAATTATATTGCATCTTCACTGTGTATGTGTGTCTGTATCATGGGGAAACAAATAAGTCATTACTTGATACAAAATTATCAGATATTCTATATTTGCAATCATACATACCTTGATTGTCACCAAACACAAATACACTGCTTACTAACTTCACTATGAAAACACTTAGAGAAAAAGAGAATACTGGCCTTTCCTGGAAAAAAGACTGAAACTTGTCACTGATGGTAAGAAAACTTTCAAGTGGCTCAGCGCCTGTAGCTCAGTGAGTAGGGTGCCAGACACATACACTGAGGCTGGCGGGTTTGAGCCTGGCCCAGGGCCTGCTAAACAACAATGACAACTGCAACCAAAAAAATAGCCGGGTGTTGTGGCAGGCACCTGTAGTCCCAGCTAGCACTCTGGGAGGCCAAGACGGGTGGATTGCCTGAGCTCATGAGTTTGAGACCAGCCTGAGCAAAAGCAAGACCCCATCTCTACTTAAAATAGAACAACTAAGGCAAGAGGATCACTTGATTCCAAGAGTTGGAGGTTCCTATGAGCTATGATGCCACAGCACTCTACCCAGGGTGACAGCTTAAGACTCTGCCTCAAAAATAAATAAATAAATAAATAATAAAATAAAATTGTTTCTGTTAAATATAATGTTATATTTATTCTGTTAAATATAATTTCGCATTAAAATAGTATTTCTGAAATTCTCAATAGTTTATAGTTCCTTTAAAAATTCTCTAATTTTGGCCAGCATGGTGGCTCATGCCTGTAATGCTAGCACTCTGGGAGGCAGTAGATTGCCTGAGTTCAGGAGTTTGAGACCAACCTGAGCAAGAGAGTAAGACCCCTGTCTCCACTAAAACCAGAAAAACTAGATGGGCATTGTGGCAGGCACCTTAATTTGAGCTACTCAGGAAGCTGAGGCAGGAGGTTCTCTTGAGCCCAAGAGTTTGAGGTTGCTGTGAGCTATGAAGCTATAGCATTCTACCAAGGGTGACAAAGTGAGACTCTGTCTCAGAAAAAAAAGTATTCTCTGATTTTTACATGATTAAAAATAATTTTACTGGCTTGGTGCCTGTGGCTCAAGTGGCTAAGGCGCCAGCCACGTACACCCGAGCTGATGGGTTCAAATCCAGCTCGGGCCCACCAAACAACAATGACAGCTGCAACCAAAAAATAGCCGGGTGTTGTGGCGGGCGCCTGTGGTCCCAGCTACTTGGGAGGCTGAGGCAGGAGACTCGCTTGAGCCCAGGAGTTGGAGATTGCTGTGAGCTGTGATGCCAGGGCACTCTACCTGGCATCTTAAGGATTAACATAGCCAGCCCCTCATTTATTGTGAAGTACCATGTTAAGTCATAAAATCTGAATTAACATGGCGTGGTTGATGCTTTGAGGTCTTAGTGTTTGTTTGGATGTATATTCTCTCTGCCATCCCTAATCCTGGTTATTATTTCGGAGGGGGTTTGAGCTTCATTTTTATCCCAGCAGCTAAACTTTATCCCATGCCCGCCTCTTGCACAGTTACTCACCAAGAACCCACAAGAACGGCTGGGCTGCAAGGGTGACGGCGCAGCTGGAGTGAAGCAGCACCCTGTGTTCAAGGACATCAACTTCAAGAGGCTGGAAGCAAACATGCTGGATCCCCCCTTCTGTCCCGATGTGAGTGTGCTGCCAGAGCAGCAGGGTCCCCAGGAATAGTGTCCTTGCAACACAGTTGCTTTAAAGCAGGTACAGAATCACCTGGGGCCTGTACTATCTGTCATAGCTGGTTCTTTCTCCCTCTCTGGTCACCCCCAGCTGCCCACAACCACCGCCAGAGCTGGCATAGACCTTCCCGGCAGTGCTCTGGCTCCTGGGGCTGGAGTCATTATCCACCCTTAATGCTGGAACCACGGCCCTCCTCAGGAGCCCCAGCTCTGCCTCCGGGCCTCCCCCACCACCCCCAGGGTCCCGCATGTCCAGTGTCCCCCTTCTGGTCTCCAGGCTGGCTTCTCCTCTCTCCTGGTGTTCTCCTTCCAACCCTGGGCACACCTCCCCACTCTGCGTGGAATGCTTGTTTGGCTTCGCTTCTTATGAGCTCCTGGGACTGTGTCTGGCCTACACGGAGAACTGTGGAGTGGTCACTGTGCCCTCTCCAGAGTGTGCTGTGGGGACCAAACAAGGTTATGTCTCCAAAGTGCATATACCAGGCCTGGCACTGTCAGGGCCTGGGGTGCCCGCAGACTGTCGACCCTGGCTGGTAAGCGTGTGTGAGTACAAACCGTGCTCTGGGCTCATCTTCCACAGTCTGTTTCCGGTGGGCCCTACACACAGGACAGCGAGGTCATTTTGAAGAACAGGTTGGAATTAAGATGGATGTACAATCAAAGTGTTTTCAGATGTGTGGCTTGTTCAGGACTTGTTAGGCTTGTTTTATGTTATAGCAGTAACAGTTGCCTCTCCAAAGTTGGGTATTTTCTGAGTGCCTTCTACCTGCCAAACATAGCTCTAGGCGTTAAGGCCACAGGGAGAAAGGATAGTGATGTCCCTGCTGGGGCAGCTGTCCCAGTCTTCAGGGATGTGCAATAAGGCCAACTGACCAGCCAACTGAGCAAACCACTGGGCAGCAGGGAGTGCAGGACCAGTCCCACTCAGCCTGGTGCTGCTGGGTCAGGAGCAGGGAAGGCAGCCTCTGAGTAGGGACCCCAGCCGAGCTCCAGGTAGCAGACCCTGCCAAGAAGGGTGGGAGAGTCTGAGGGGCAGGGGCTCTGGGCCAGCCCACTTCAGACACTTGTGCATGTCCTCCTTTGAGAGATCACATGAGCCCTATAGCCAGTCCTCAGGGGGCTCTCATCAATACAGCGGAGATTCCTTTGTGGGATTAAGTCTCCTGGTTGTGGGATAGCATAGAGTTTGGTCCTTTGACCTGGAGTGAAATATTGGGATTCCTTCCCCTGGACTGTCCTCTGCCAGTTCACTTCTGCTCTCTGCCTTTTGGAGCTGTGTGAATGGCCAGCAGCCACTCTCAGAGCCAACTGGTGGCCCACAGGAACTCACTGCCTTGATTACAGCACTAACTGTGGCATGCAGGCTCTGGCTATGGGTAAGATGGCCAGAACTGCAAGCTGCCTCTCGCAGGAGCAGATGAGCCCTGGAGCTCTGTGCTTTTTGTTTCTTCACCCCCCAAATGCAAAAGCAGCTGCACTGGCGGGGGTGAAGGCCCAGCCTCGATGCCCCCTCAGCTCTCCCTGCCTACTAGCCTGACCCTTGGCTTGAGGAACATGGACCTGGGGTCCTGTCCCAGCCTGGGGCTGTGGGCCTGGAGCCCAGGGCTTGGCCCTGCCCCGTAAGATGAGCCAGCAGGGAGTGGATGTGCAGGGGTGAGGGGTCACCAGCGGCCAGTGCAGCAGTGGCTCCACCCCTTGCACTGCTCTTCAGTCTGTGCTGCATCTTCTGATAAGAGTGCTTCACCCCACCCTCCTTGTTTGTAATCCTTTTGCCACTATAGAAGAGAGAAAGGTGTGGTCCTCAGAGGGGAAGAGTGTGTGTGTGAGACAGAGAGCACGCACGTGTGTGCACCAGGGAGCCGGGGCACGCAGGGTCTTCAGGGCAGACGAAGAGCTGAGAACTGCCTCGTTAGAGGATGCGCTCTGTGAATTAGGACACCATTCAAATGAGGGGCTCAGCAGAGAAACAAAGTGTCTACGCACTGATGTCATCGGCATTTTGTGGGACCCCAGATCTGTGTCAGCTTACAGGTGGGCATCTCTCTGTTCTTGTTGGCAGCCCAAAGCAGTGTACTGTAAGGATATCTTGGACATTGGGCATTTCTCCACGGTCAGAGGCGTCTACCTGGACACCACAGACAACAGCTTCTATGCTCAGTTTGTTACGGGGTGTGTCTCCATCCCCTGGCAGAATGAGGTACTACCCTTCCCAGCATAGCAGGTTTCTGTTCTAACAATGACGAGGAAAAGACTGTGTGTGGAGGGGGAGGTAAAACTATGCAAGAGTTTGACCACAGAACTAGGCCAAGGCAAGGGCCCGGTCCACAACTGGGCAGAAGTATGGCCGCCACCAGTCCCAGACTAGAAGTGGACAGGAGGTGGCCTCTTGGGCCTGTGGGGGCCTGCCAGCTTCCCCTGAGTCCTGGTCCCTTAGCAGAGCTGGTGGCAGCCACGGTGCCCACATAGTTCACTGCTCTGGGGCTATGCTTACCATACCACTCACCCCAGGACAAGGTCAGGGCCAGGGACATAGGCCTGCAGGAAGGGAGAGCCAGGGTCAGCAGAACCTGGGCACTCCAAGGCACCAGCTGAAAGACACTGACTGACCCTGCGGTGTCCCTCCATGCCTTCCCTGTCCTACTGATCTGTATGTGCAGATGATCGAGTCTGGATGTTTCAAGGACATCAATGAAAGTGAAAATGATGACACTTTTCGGTCAGATATAGAAGAGAAGCAACTTGTCCGGGTTTCCAAACCAAAGAAAGGCTTCTTCTATCGACTCTTCAGGCGTGGGGTAAAAAAAAACCTAAAAAACCCTGTAATGTGTCAGAGAAAATATGTTTTGCTGAGGTGAAACATAGTACTTTCTTTTCTTTTGCAATGCTTCACATAAGGACTTTCCCCATTGCTCCAGAGCATGTGGAGCTGTGTAGAGCCCAGCCTGCGTCCTCCTGTGGTGTCTGCAGCTGCGTGAAGTCTGTTCTGTGCCCAGGCAGAGCGGCCGAGCAGCATTCACAACAGGGTCCTGTGCTAAGGGGAATGTGTTTTAAGCGAGGCTCAGAAATTGGCATCTTGTAAATGACCAAACAACACATATTATTTAAATCTGTACATGTTCTGATTTTTTAAATAATTCTGCCTGGTGACGCCTTCTGATTCTTACAGTGCTGTCTCAGTCCACCTGCACAGTGAAAGCCAATTCCTTTCTGGACATGGAGTATTTTGGAGATACTTTCTGTAGTAGCATTAAATTTAGAAAAATGTTTCTCAAGCAGAGGTTTTCCACTTGGATCAGTAGATTGGCCTTTCCTTGTGCCTTGCAGATTCTTGAGGAGTTTGTTCAGAGGTTCTCTATTTATTAACATCTAATCCATCTTTTTTTTCTGTATAAAAAGCAAGCCTCAGGTGGTTAGAATTTCTCAAAGTGGCACTTGTGGTGACCACATTTCTCTAAGAACTAACCAAATTATTCTCCCTACTTTGTGTGCAGTGAGTCCCTCTTGGAAGCATTCCTACTGCGCAGGCAAATTTGCAGGTGACAGGATACAGGTGTATAGTGCGGCCTTTCCTAGTGGAGGGGCTGGTGGGAGCTTTCATGTACTCAGCCATGGACAGTGTGAACTGTTTTAAGTTTGCAGCAGTCAATGCCAGGAACAAGACTTCCTGGAGGATATTTTATGTATGTGAGTTAAGTTTCCTCCATATCTCGAATAAGAAGAATATATGTAAGGTCTTTGTGTGCCTTAATTAGCATCACCTCAGTAGCTTTTTAGCTTCTGTCTACATTTAAGGAAGGGAGAAACAGCCTGTGCTGGCAATGCGCCTGAGGCAGCTCTGTCTTGCAGGGCTGCCTAACCCCTGGCTACAGTGAGCAGGACCCGGAGCCCATGATGCGCCAGGACCCCACTGCAGCCACAGACCTGGCACCAGGAAGGAGCGCCCAAGGTGTCCCACCCGGCCCTGAATTGTAATAAACATCACAGTTTAAAACGTGCCACAGGAGTTTACAGATTCTTCCATGTTAACGCCTGGGTTGCCTTTCCACCAAAGCTGAATCAAAGGAAAAGCCCGGAGAGTACCACTGTAGTGCCCAGAAACTTCCAAGCACAGACATCTGGTGTGCTGGGGCATGAAGTCCCAGAGAGAGGAGGGGAGCGGCTTGGGGACGAGTAGTGCAGTGTCCTGCCCTGTGCCCCAGGTTCCAGGAAGAGAAGGAGGCTGGGCCGCCTTCATCCTGGGCTTTAGGAATCAGAAAGGCTGAGCCCATTGACCTTCCAGCTGTGTCTCCTGGTGGCTGGAATATGCGTCTCGTGCCTCACCAGGATTCCTACTTTTCTGAGGTTTGTGTCTTTGTGGACTGTTTCAAGTACCACCCCCAGCACCTCTGTCCACCTGTGAAAGAAGGTGGCTCTCCCTGTCCACAGTCAGGGCTTGGCAGTCAGAGGTTTCTGAAGACAGTGCCTGGTGATTCCTGGGGACTGTGCCCCTGGGTAGGTAACAGCCTCTCTTGGAAGCCCTCTCAGGGGAACCTTGCTGAGCCCACATTCTTTGTGAAGGTTTAGAATTTGAGGTAGGATGAGGCTGGCTTGGCTCTGGTGAGGGTCTCCCCAGATCAGAGGAGCATTTAACAAGTGAAGGCTCGTTCAAGGAAGGACCAGAGAGGACCCCTGGCTGGGAGCCTTTGCCTTGCCTGCATCCTTTTTCTATGGTTTAGCCTGCACTTGGTATCTTTTTGTAGCCTGCTATATGAGAAGTCAGCTTACATATTTTCTCCTTATTCAAGATATGGAGGCAGCTTAACTCACATACAAAGCCAGTCTCCAGAAGCCTTGGAGACTTTAAACCTAACAGCAACATCCAAGAAAATAAAAGCCTCAAGGCTACCCCCAACTCTTTATGCAAAGGAGAGGATAAAGGCTTCAGGCATCTGGGAAGAGCTAAACCCACAGGTCATTCATTAAGGAAGTTTCTTGCTGGCCTCCCATAGGCAAGGACCTCATCCTACCTCAAATTCTAAACCTTCACAAAGAATGTGGGCTCAGCAAGGTTCCCCTGAGAGGGCTTCCAAGAGAGGCTGTTACCTACCCAGGGGCACAGTCCCCAGGAATCACAAGGCACTGCCTTCAGAAACCTCTGACTGCCAAGCCCTGACTGTGGACAGGGAGAGCCACCTTCTTTCACAGGTGGACAGAGGTGCTGGGGGTGGTACTTGAAACAGTCCAAAATTGTAGTGTTAGGGCCATAGGCCACATCTAGCTCCTAAAGTCTGTTGGATCCATACTAATAAGGAATTGCAAGTTTATCTTCACAGGTGCAGAACACAGACAAGATAGGATTGGTCATCCTCCCCTACCGACCCTCCCCACCCCAGGGACATCTGTGTAACTGGTGTTTTCATTTTACTTTTTTTGTAGTTTTTGGCCAGGGTTGGGTTTGAACCCACCACCCTTGGCATATGGGGCTGGCGCCCTACTCCTTGAGCCACAGGCGCCACCCTGCTTGCTTTTTTTTTTTGAGGCAGAGTCTCACTATGTCACATCTCACAGCAACCTCAAACTCTTGGGCTAAAGCAATTCTCTTGCCTCAGCCTCCCAAGTAGCTGGGACTACGGGTGCCCCCAACAATGCCTGGCTATTTTTTGGTTGTAGTTGTCGTTGTTGTTTAGCTGGCCTGGGCTGGGTTGAACCTGCCAGCCTCGGTGTATGTGGTTGGCACCCTAGCCACTGAGCATAGGCACTGCCCCTTTTTTCTCTTCTAACATCTCCTTATCTTAGGCAACATGTAGACCTCCTGGGACTCACAAGAGTGAAGCCCTTTGTCTCACCTCTGCCCCCTTTTTCCTTCTGTATGCCTTCAAACACTGAAAACTCCCAAATTCCCTTTCAAAAAGCAACCACAGTTTGTCTGCAGTTTGTGTTTTTCCTGGGTGCAAATTCAACTTTGGCTTAATAAACCTCCATTGGGATTTTGTGTCAGTCACTTATTTGGGTCACCACGATCAGACAGCAGTGTGGAGGAAGGAACTATAAGAGCCTGAGGGTGAGAGCCATGGAGCAGCAGGAGCCCGGGTCTCAGAGGCGCTTTCACACAAGCAGCACAACTCACATAGCACAAGTGGCCATGTCCTCCAGCAGACAGGTCACCTGCTCTGCTGTTCTACTATTACAAAGTTGCCTGTGTCCAAGAGGTGCCTCCTGCAGTAGGAAGTGCATTGGGTGGTTATGAAACTCAGTCCTCCAGACATATCTGACATATCTGCTGCAGTCAACATAGTAGCATCTAGGACAGCATTTTAGGGAAAACCCTCCTGGGGGACGTCTCTGTGAGGTTGGGAGCCTCTGTTGTGGCAGGGGAAGGGGAAGCTACCTGTGGGATTGGGCCTTTATTTTTTAGGGTGATGGAAACAGCTTTGCTTGGCTTCTGAGGCAAAATAGCATAAAAGATTAAGGCTTTCTGGAGGTGGGTGCTGCAGCCTGTCTTTGGGCCCCTCTCCTGGTTGCTGCATCCTCCTCTCCTGCAGCACAGAGATGGCAGGAGTGCCTGCCTCATGGGGACCACGAGAAAAGGTCAGTTTCTGTAAAGCATTAAGCAGAGTGGTACATGGTAACTGCTCAGCAAATATGTTAATAATTGTTGAGAAATAATACATGCTCACTGTAAAAATTACAGGAAAGTATAAAGAAAATAAAAATCAGGTCAGGTGTGGTGGCTCACACCTGTAGTCCCAGCACTCTGGGAGGCTGAGGCAGGAGGACCCCTTTGAGCTCAGGAGTTTGAGACCAGTCTGAGCAAGAGTGAGACCCCCATCTCTACTAAAAATAGAAAAATTAGCTGAGTATCAGGGCAGGCGTCTGTAGTCCCAGCTACTCAAGAGGCTGAGGCAGGAGGATCCCTTGAGCCCAAGAGTTTCTGGTTGCTGTGAGGTAGGGTGACACCAAGGTACTTTTAGCCTGGGGGACAGAGCGAAACTGTCTCCAAAAAGAAGGAAAAAGTCATCTTTATCCCACTATGTGTTCATGTTTGAGTCCTTCTATCCCTTCCTCTGTCAGCGTAGATACAATTTCACAGCAGTGGACTTGCTGGCATCTCTTTCAGGGAACTGCTCCTCCCTGCTGCTGGGGGTGTAGGGGCCTGGCTGTGCTGAGGACCTGATCTCTGGGAGGTTTGCCTCGTGGGAGGTTTGGGGTTGCCACCTCCTTCCTCCTGCACAAAGCGTCTGGCTGAGAAGGAAGCCAGAGGGGCAAGCCTGAGGGTTTCGTCCATGCCTTGGGATCTCAGTTACAGGAACCAATACCATCCCTTTTCTTTTTCTTTTTTTTTTTAAGCAACAAGATAGAGTTTATTGAGAGGGAGGAAGATTGATAAGCATGATGAGCAAAAGAGGGAAACAGAAGAAGGGGAACAGGACCTCTGGCAGTGGAGGGTTGTTTGTTTTTTTTGCTTAAGCTAGTCTGAGTTGATTTTCTCCATGTTCAAGTAAAAGAGACTTGACTGAGACAAATTACAAGCCTAGGTTAATATTTTTACGGACTAATAATTTTTTCACTCAGTAGACTAAACATATCTTTTTTTTTCTGATTAGAAGCAAGCATATATGTTGAGGAGAATTTTGAAATTAAGAAGGTACACAGGCTCGACGCTGTAGCTCAAGCGACTAAGGCACCAGCCACATACAACACAGCTGGTAGGTTTGAATCCAGCCCAGGCCTGCCAAACAATGACAATTACAACCTCTATACAGGGTGATAGCTTGAGGCTCTGTCTCAAAAAAATAGTAATAACAAAAATAAAAAATAAGAAAGTACACAAAGAAAAATTCAGCTTTAATATCAGCCACTATCCCTATCAATAGTTTATTCTTTTTTTTTTGAGACAGAGCCTCAAGCTGTCACCCTGGGTAGAGTGCCGTGACATCACAGCTCACAGCAACCGCCAACTCCTGGGCTCAAGCGAGTCTCCTGCCTCCGCCTCCCAAGTAGCTGGGACCACAGGCGCCCTCCACATTGCCTGGCTATTTTTTGGTTGCAGCCATCATTGTTGTTTGGCGGGTCCGGGCTGGATTCAAACCCTCCACCTTAGGTGTATGTGGCTGGCGCCTTAGCCCCTTGAGCCACAGGCGCCGAGCCCAATAGTTTATTCTTTCCATAAAACTTATGTTGTATTTTATTTCTTGCCATGTCATTTGAGGCCATATTGTCAAATATACATTCGGTTTTCCTGCCTTTCATGGCACATCACTTTTAAAATCCTTAGAATCAGCTTGGTGCCTGTGGTTCAAGTGGCTACGGTGCCAGCCACATACACCTGAGCTGGTGGGTTCGAATCCAGCCTGGACCCGCCAAACGACGATGGCTGCAACCAAAAAATAGCCGGGCATTGTGGTGGGTACCTGTAGTCCCAGCTACTTGGGAGGCAGAAGCAGGAGAATCGCTTGAGCCCAGGAGTTGGAGGTTGCCGTGAGCTGTGATGCCACAGCACTCTACCCAGGGGGACAGCTTAAGGCCCTGTCTCAAAAAAAATAAAGAAATAAAAAATAAAATTCTTAGAATCTTCAAAGGGAGAAATGTGTTTTATGTACTAATGAGTTGACTGGTGGCTGGCAGCCCCTAGACAGCTCCTGGACAGGGGCTGGTCACCAGAAAGACCAAGGCAGAAGGGTTGGGGAGGGAGAGGGGCTAAAGGTATAAAGTCAGTCACCAATGGCCAGTGACTTACCCAAGTGTAGCTCTGTAATAAGCTTCTTCCACAGAACCCACAAAGGCTGGGTTGAAGGAGCTTCTAGATGATACGCAGAGACTCCTAAAGGGTGGTGGTGCAACCCAACTCCACAAGGACAAACCTCGGCCTGTGTCTCTTCATCTGGAGGTGTTGTTTGTTTCTGAGCAGGGCCTTGATCTGTGGCCCTCAGTAGACAGAATGCAGTGGCGTCATCACCCCTCACAGCACCTTGAACTCCCGGACTCAAGTGATCCTCCTGCCTCAACTTCCTGAGTCTCACTCTTGCTCAGTGTGTCTTGAGCTCCTGAGGTCAATCAATTCTCCCAGAGTTCTGGGACTGCAGGTA